AAAAAAAAAAAAAAAAAAAAAAAAAAAAGGAAAAGAAGAGAAACAGTTATTGCAAATGAATAACTAACACAGGACCTATAAATAGTTTTAGCCATTCGTTACACAGCTTACAACCAAAATTTTGGAGTAGAACATGCGTTTGCATAAAACCCAAGTTTTGCTTGTTTAGTGGCCAGACCGTGAGACGAGGCACACTGCATGAGAAGCACCCACAGCAACAGAAATTACAATATGGTCCCCAAGCCCATCATCCTCGTTAAGAAACTTGACCTCGACTGGAGTTGACTGAATCTCAGGAAGACCAGGGACTCCTAGCTGACTATCAGCTGCATAACCCCACATGTACAACTTCCCCTTATCTGATCAATTCAAGCTTCTTTTTCAGCAATATCATTCACAAATCTCGTGCAGTTTAAATAGTTGAAAACAATAGCAGTACGCAAATCAAGTAACACGTCAAGCAAGATTTTAATCTAATTCAGGAAAAGAGAAAATCTTGCAAAAAAATTGTTTCAGAAGACTCCACGGAGTTCTGTAACTAGTTTAAACCTCGAGGCAGTTTTGCAATCATACCTAATATTATTTCAGAATTGTAAATTTGTTGAGAATAATCCCTAGGTTAGTATATTTTACCAGTTATAGCTGCTGACGATGAACCTCCACAAGCAATAAAGGTGACCCTCTCATTAGCTAAGGCTTCAACGGGTTCAGGAACTTTTCGACTGTAAAGTGAAGAATGACCTAATTGACCATGTCCACCGTGACCCCATGAAAGAACCTCCCCTTTGTCTGATATGGTAATGCCAATGCCAGATAAAGCAAAAATCAAAACACATTCAGATTTTCTCCAGAATTGGCCGAAAACCAATTTGATGTATAGTATTGTAGTGATTATACCTGTGAGGGCAAGAGAATGATATCCACCACTAGCAATCTGAATCAGGCGAATGCCTTTAAGACTAGGAACGGGTTGGGGTTTCCACCCACCAATTTTGTCACCTCTACCGAGCTCATAGTTAGAGTTGGCTGTGAAGAAAAAAAATTTTAACGACATAATTAGTAGACTCTCAAGTGGTTCCAATAACATACGATTATAAGTTAAAGCTCTCCTCAGGTTTAGTCAAGTTAAAAACGAAAAGTGATACTTTAAATTACAAGTAGCCCCTCCTTTAGGATTTTCTTGTTCTGCAAATAAAACCCCTTCAATATGTGCAACATGTGAGAAAACGATGGAACATTTGTAAGTTCAATAAACAAATGGGTCCTGTGATTACGCTTAATCTCTAGGGTTGTACACGTAATTATGCATAACTATACTGTAGATTGCAGATACACACTCTCATTCCAAATGTTACAACAAAGAACAAGAACACTGAGAAGCACGGGGTCATTACCACCCCAGTTCCAAAGTTGCCCTTCTTCAGTAAGTGCCATCGTGAAGAACCCGCCGCATGAAACAGCAGCAATCGGCTCAGGCAGTGCTTTTACAAGAGAAGGTGTGCTATTGCCGCCAGCAAAATCAGGACCACGACCAGGGCCAAGGCCTAATCTACCATCCCCTTCATCTCGCCCCCAAATGTAAAGTTGGCCTTAATTATAAACAAAAAACAACTACATTAAGGTAAATATGTGTTCAGAAGATACCAACCAAAAGGTACACAGTAATTGATTTGCATATGCAAATGTAAGTCAAATGATTTGAATTGTTCTCCCATTCTTCAATACTATAAAACAACAATAAAGTCTAAAATGTGGATGTCTAACCAGATTTAGTGATAGCAGCTGTATGTGTACCGCTGGTAGCAATATGACATATTTCTCCCTCCCAAGATCCTTCGACCAATTTAGGAAGCAGCTCACGGTGATAAACAGAATGCCCGAGGGCACCAAAACCACCATAACCCCTGAAAACTTCATTTTGTAAAGAAGTATCAAGATTTTGCAAACAATAGAATAAATCAAAACTTATGATACGTAGAATAAAAATCTCATCTTGTGCACAAAAAAAAGCATAAAAGGCAACACAGTATGGATGAGATGGGACTATCCAAATGCTAAAAGAGGTACTGACCAAGTGAAAACACGGCCATCGACATCGAGCACAACGGAATGGAGCCCACCGAGGGCAATGCTTCCAACATCTGATTCTATATTACGATTCAGAGTGGGCACAAAAACTGGGTTTTCATGTCCGAACCCTAGCCGGCCTCCGTCCCCTTTGCCCCAAATCCACAAATTCCCGTCCACCACCAAACCCGAATGGAAAAGCCCACAAGAGATGCCCACCTCCATTTTAGGCTCATTGGATACCGGAAATTGGGAGAGGCGACCGGGAGTAGCGCGGCAGAGAGAGAAATAGGGCGGGACGGAGAGGGTGGCGACGGGCGACGGGTACATTCGGAGTTCCTCGATTCCTCCGCCGAGCTGGCCGGAGGCGCCGCGGCCCCACGAGAACAGCTGAAGAGTGGTCGA